AAAAACAGTCTGGCAATTCCTCAAAAAGTTAAACAGAGATGGGCTAGGGCTGAGGCTGTAGCTCAGTGGTAGAGCACCTGCCTTACACGTATGAGGCACCGAGTTCAATCCTCAGCACCACATTAAAAAAAATAAAAAAGATATTGTGTCCATCTACATCTAAAATAAATATTAAATAAGAAAAAGTTAAACAGAGAGCAGCAATTCCACTCCTAGTATATACACAAGAAAAATGGAAACACATGCCCACACAAAAATTTATATATGAATTCATAGAAGCAATATTTATAATAGCCAAAAAGTAGGGAAAAAATGTCCATCAAGTGATGAAAAAATAAAATATGGTAAGAATTCATACACTGAAACCCACTGGGCAATAAAAAGGAAACACTGACAGAATTTACAATGTGGATGAATCTTGAAAGTTTGTGTTAAAGAAACAAAGAAACCAATCACAAAAGGCTGCATGATTCAGTTTATAACGAATGTTCAAAACAGACAAATGTATAGACAAAAAATATATCAGCAGTCCCCTAGGGCTGGGAGGAAAAGGGTTGTGGAACTAGAGTTGCTAAAGAGTTCAAGGTTTCTTTTGGACATAATAAAATGTTCTCAAATTGACTATGGTGATGATTGTTGTACAATCCTGTCAATGTCCTAAAAAATAATTAAAAAGTCAAATATTGACTTTAAAAGGGTGAACTGAATGGTATGTGAATCCTTCAATTATACTGTTGGGGGAGGGGGGCAGTAAGTGATCTCCAAAAAAGAGTTTTTTAGCAACTCATTAGAAAAAAGCAAATAAGAAAACACTGATCTCTCAGAGCATGGTAGCACATGTTCAATCCCAGCTACTCAGGAGGCTAAGGCAGGAAGATGCTTAACAAGGCCCTATCTCAAAATTTTAAAAAAATTTAAAGGGTTGAGGATTGTAGCTCAGTGGTAGAGCACCCGCCTGGTATGTGCAATGCCCTGAGTTCAATCCCTACGCATCCCCAAAAGAGAAAACTTATCTCAGGAACCAACTTTCTTTAGATAAAACAACCTTCTGGGTAAGACACTGTCCAGTCAAAATAAAACATAAGCCAAACAAGAATTTTAAACTTTTAAGCATCCATATTGAAAAAGTAAGGAGAGGGACTGAAGATACACTGATAAGAGTGCTTGCCTAGAATGTGGAATGTTCTGTGTTCAATTCTCAATACCACAAAAAAAAGGAAAAAGAGGTCAAATTAATATCAATAATTTTAATATTTTGACATTTTATTTTACCCATCTAATGGATGAAGAAATTGTGGTATATATACATAATGGAATACACTCAGTCACAAAGAATGACTTGAGGCCATTTGCCCGGAAGTGGATGGATCTGATGACTATCGTGCTAAGTGAAATAAGCCAATACCAAAAAAATCAAAGGTTGAATGCTTTCACTAATATGTGGACGTTAACCTACAATAAGTGGGGAAGGGATAGAAGTTCAATAGAGTAGACAAAGGGGAAGAAAGAGCAGACAGTAGAATGAATCTGATATAACCCTCCTAAGTACATATATAAATATACCACAGTGTACATCCAAAGATTGAGATCCTAATTAGAATTAGATATATCCCATGCTTGTATAAATATATCAGAATAGTTCTACTGTCATGTGTAACTAGAAAGAATAAAAAAAATAAAAATTTTAAAAAAGAAATCTAGGGAAAAATACAAATATAAACTGCCAACTACATCTTATTTGACAAATTGCCCAGGTGTTTTTTAACACAAGAATTTTTTTATTAATTTTTTTTTTAGTTGTAGATGACCACAATACCTTTATTTATTTATTTTTATGCATTGCTGAGGATAAACCCCAGTGCCTCACACATACTAGGCAAGCGCTCTACCACTTAGCTAAAACCACAGCTTCTACCCAGGTTTAATGTGATTTCATTCGATCAATTATTAGAACATTTGTGTATATATATAACATATATATACACATATACATACATACGTATGTATGTGGGTGTGTATATATATATATGTGTGTGTGTGTATATATACTGTGTGTTAAGAGTCTACATTATATAGAAATATTTACTGAAAGAGATCTTCAATGATAGAAAATAGGATTTTCCTGAAATAAAGTATAGGTTTTCAATATTATCATTTGGTGATCTTTTACTTATCCTCTTGCCCTCCCAGATAAGAATTTTCAAGATCAAATATTTGCCAATTTCTTTGTTTGTTTGTTGCTGGGGACTGAACCCAAGACCTTCAGCATGCTAAGCACCTGCTCCATCATTGTATTTTTAAAGGAATCAATGTCAGACATCTTTTTCAATGACAACTTTTTTCTCCAGTGCTGAAGATTAACCCCAGGAAGAGCCACACACATTGTTAGGCTAGCACACTACCACTGTGCTACACCCTCAGCTCCCTCAATGACAAACTTTAATCTATAACAAGCATGGTAAATCTACTCAACATTTTTAAGAAAAATTTAAATTACAAAATGGTAGATCTTTTCTTGTGCTCCAAGTAGAACTGTACAGATAGATCAACTGAAAACTAATTTTCTTATTTCTTGCACTTTTCCTGTATGTGCTTCCCTTAACAAAGCCCACAGTTTAATTTTTCTTCAGGTTCTTGGTACAGTGGTAAGCTTCAATTTTTATGTTTTCTGCTTCAACAGAAACAAATGATTAAAACTATTAACTGACATCAGAAAAAGTTACTTCAAAAAGGCTTTAATTTTACTGAAAATTCACTTGTTATACCTGTAGAATTTATAATTAAGTTCCACAGAATTTAGGATTTTAATTTCACCATCACAAAAAGCAAAAAATGTCCTCACAGATATTCACCTAAATAAATTTTTTATTTACAAAATATTGACTATTTCTAATATTTTGCAGTAAAATTCCAAAAGCAATCAGGATGGTGGAGGCCTAAAATGGAAACTCTAGAAAGACTCAAATGCTTCAAAATTTAATATTTAACACCCACTAAAATAGCTAAATCAAAAGACTGATTATATCAAATGTTAGCTGGGATCTGAACCAACAGTAATACCTACATATCACTGATAGGATTGTAAAATAGTACAAAAGCCTTTAAAAAAAAAAAAAAAAAGTCATTTCTTATAAAACTAAACAGGCCTGCCCTATCACCTAGTCATTCCACTTCTACACATTTAACCAAAAGAACTCATACAAGATTGTTAATAGTAACTAAACAGAAATAACTGGAAACAGGTGGCCCTAAACAGTAGATAAATCATGATACGTTCATATAGTGGAAGACTATAGAGATAAAAGTACTAATATACACAAGAATGAATCTTAAAAATATGCTGAGTGAAAAAAAGCCTTACTCAAAGAGTACATACTATGCGTAAATACTGCTTATGTGAAGTTCTAGAACTGGCAAATCAAATCTCTGGTGAAAATGAAATAAAAAATGTGACTGATGAAAGGGAAAGTTTGACTGAACTGATTGGAAAAAGGCAAGAGAAAAAACCTTTCTAGTCAATTATTAATTCTACATTTTGTTGAGGACTTGAGTGACCCAGCTGTAAACATTTGTGAAAAACTTATGTAATGGCAACCACATGCATCCCATTGCATGTCAAATTTACCTTTAAAAAAAAAAAAAAAACTGTATAAGTTGAAATGAATAACACACACAATGTTGGAGTGCCTGTTAAGGTTGCTGCTGATAATTTGCAACTTATTTCTAAATGTATTCAAAAACATAAAATGGAATTTAATAAATTATGTTATAAAACAGGAAATGTTAATTGACAGTGAGAGACACACTGATATTAGCTGTATAATCTTTCAACTTTTCTGTATATTGAAAAATATAAAAATATTAAGGAAAATTTTTGTCAGAGAGTTAGGAAACAAAGAATGATGACTCAGTTGATGACAAAAGTTTCTCTCAATTGATGCTACACACCCTCCTGCTTCACAAAACACACCTTTAGAGTTAGATAAACCCTGGAGAAAACTTAAAAGTGCATTTCAATAATTGTTAACTGCTTCCCCAAATTAACTATTCACATTATTTGATACTGTCAGGGATCTATTCAATAATTATTAAAAATACTCCAGGAAACAATAAACTAGAAACAACGTGTTGAATTCCACCAAGATTTTTAATTAACTTCAAAATTTGTATTCCTGAACAAAGTTCAAGCAGAAAATTATTTGGTAAGATTCCCCATGAACTCCAGTTTTGTTTTCTTTTACTGGGTTGCACCCCCAGTATCCAAATAACGTCGCTATCGTCCCTCTAAGATCAAAAAACCTACCCAATGACTGCCATCTAAGTGATGACAGATATACTAAAAATGAAATAGCAAGTCATCATGAATGAAAAGTCGTTCACTTTTTCTCCTTAAGCCTAGTACTTTTTTTTAAGATGCGGCTGGAAAACGTCATGGCTTTCTCACAAAAGGTGGGAAGATGAGAAAGATTTCAGCATTCAAAACGCAGAATAAACGTACACGTGCACCTCACCCTAAAACCTGCCTTAACCCGCCAACAGGTAAAACAATGAGCAGACCCCCGCCCCTTTTTTATTGATGAAACAAAACCGCAGCTAGGGTAAAGTGGACCCTCACCCCCGCCCAGCCTCCACCCCGCCCGAAGCCAGGCGGTGGGTCCCTTTCCTTTGTGAGGAGCTGGAGAGGAGGTGGCTGAGGGCGGGGAGCTGGGGGAGGAGGTTGGGGGGTCGGTGGACGCCAGAGGAGGAAGACCCAGAGCCAAGCGGCGGCGACGGCGGCGCGTCCCACAAGCAGGCCGCACAGCCCCGCCACAAACCTCTGCGGAGTCCAAAGGAGCAAACCCGCGAACTTGAGCAATTTCTAATGTGAGATGAGATCCAGAATGGCCGAGGGCACATCCGCGGACGACCCTCTCCCAGGCCCTTCCAAAACCGTCTCCTCCGATCGCGGGCGGAGATCTTGCCGCCACCCCCACCCCGGCCCGAGCCCCAGGCGGCCTCACCTGCTGGACCGAGCTGTTCTCGGGCACAGCGAACTCCTCCTTCTCTTTCGGGGTCTTTACGGTGACTTTCATGATCTTGGGCTCCGTAGAGGCAGCGGCCGCGGGGGCGCCGGCACCCTCAGCCGCGGCAGCGCTGTCCTGGGAGCCCGGAGGACCGCCGCTTTCACCACTCTCGGCCATGGCGGCGGCGGCGTCGGTGACTCAGGCGAGCAGGAGGGAGCGGGAGAGCAAGGGGGAGCCAGGAGACGCCAGAGCCGACTGGCCCGGGCAGCGGAGAACGCAGGGCACGCCGCCTAGGTGGCAACGGCGCAGGGCCGCCAAGGGGCCGCGGAGCTCGGTGTGGGCTCCAGGTGCAGGCCCGGATTCGGCGCTCGGTAGCAGCGCAGTGTTCAGACGCCGCTGGTTCGCAGCGACATCCGCAGCCGCAGCCGCTTCCTCCCCCCGCCCCTCCCCCCACGTCCCTCCGCCGGCGCCGCGCGGGGCACGCCGGGTAACGCAGATGGCCGCGTCGCCGAGTCATCCTCGCCTGGCGCCGCTTCGAGCTCCAGTTGCGTCCCCTTTCCTCCCTCGTCCCAGTGTGCAAAGTGTAGGCGCGGCCAGCTTGGAGAACTAAAAGCAAACTGGGGCAGGACAGATCAGTTCATTTTTTCTTTTTCACTCCTGTCACCAAAAAACAAAATGCGTCTTCTAAGAGGCACTGTGCGGCGCACCGGGATGACATCACGGCCAGCGAAATTACTAGAAAGGAACTTGGACCACTGGGCGCTGCGAGCGCGGATGCGCCTGCGCGCTCATGGTCCAGGTTGTCTCCTCTCCCCACCTCCTCACCTCATACCACGACTAGGCTCTGCTCAGTCGCCCTTCCCGCGTGCTAGTCTTGCCTGCTTGCCGGGCGTACAGCACCGAGGAGAGTCTGATGATGAAATAGCAGCGAGGAATTTTTGTTGTTAATATGGTTGGTATTTGCCTAGTTGGAGGCTTTAAAATGTTTTGTTCTAACTGCTCTGTGCGTGGAACCTGGAGGATAAGTCAGTGAAGGAGAAAGGACTAATTATAAAGGAAAATGGAGTGAACGCCTATGAACCAATCATTGCTTCATGGCCCTAGCGTTCAGTTCTCAGGTCAAACCGGTTTGGTCAGAAGATCAAGGCAACTCCTATTGACAGTCTCAGCTGACAGTCATGTGTGAACATCCCCAAATCTCAGATCACTGTATCCAAGAAGCGGGGTGCCCAAAGAGTGCTCACCCAACTGGAACAGTTTAGTACAGCTGAAGTGTTCCTTTTGTATTCTATCAAATTAAGTTACTGCATCATTTCAGATTTTAGGTGATATCAAAGATGGTTGTTCAAAAATTATCTTCAGTGTATATAGGAAGTTACTTCTGAGTCGTACATTTGAAAGGATGCCATCATTTGGGGGAAAAAAATAAGTGTGTGTGTGTGTGTGTGTGTGTGTGTATGCGTGTATGTACACACATGCATACATATTAACCATTTCTGAGTGTTTTGTTAGCGTATTTTGTGGTTCTGGGGATTGAACCCAGGACCTCGGGCATGCGAGGCAGGCAGGCAGGCAAGCAGGCAAGCGTGCAAGCACTCTATCACTAAACCACACCCTCCAACCCCATTGTTTGTTAAAGATAGAGAACACAGTATATTATTGTAATCAGTATTGCACAAATGTAAATCCTGACCCAAATATGCAAGGATATTCAGCCCTGTTGTAGAATTAAATACTGTCCCATAAACACTACCTTTTAGCAGAACCCTTTGGAATCTGGGTCAGAGAGAAGTTCTGACGTATAAATTGCAATAAAGACATACTTTGACATCACCAAAATTTTGTGCCAGCATTGTTCAATAATATGAAGAGTTAACCCAAGGTCCTTTGCTGAACGGTTATGTCTAAATGTAAGGTAATCATTACTTCTCGGGGTAGAAAGTACCACCATATAACCAATCATTTGGAATTTGTTCTATATATTTAAATAAAATCTCTTCCCAACTTCATTAGGTCAATATTTGTGACTTCCTGTCCTGCTGTTTTCTGTCTGCAAGCTTTGCCTGGACTGCCTCTCCTGCCTGGAGTGACTTCTTCCTTGCCTTCACCTGCCTAATCCCAATATCACATTCCCCAGAAAGATTTCACTGGCTACAGTTAGAGACCCAATGTCTGTCTGCACTCCTGTAAATACACTGTATATATCTCTAACCCTACACTTATAGAATTACATTGTAACTATGTGTCTACATTAACCTCTAAAAATTTCTCATGTATATTATATAACTTAAGTAATGTATCTGTAAGAAGATACAGCATAGTTAATCATTTTGGTGGTACTTTTCATAAACATAACCTATAAGGGACCTTTGGAGGTGGGGGGATCATGGACTAGATCAGGGATTTGTAAACTTTTGGGAGGGCTAAGTAGTAAATACTTTAGGCAGACCATAGACTATAAAATTATGCCCTGGTATCACAAAACAACCACAGACAATCCATAACTAAATAAGCAAAGCTGTATTTACTGAAGATTTTACTTAAAAAAGAAAAATCAACCATAGAATCTGATATGGGCCACAGGGATAGTTTGCCAATCGCTGATCTTGATGTTTGTTTTTTCCCTGAATGATTTTTGTTTATTAAATGGCTGGTATGGAGAAAATCAGAAGATTTTTCACCTACTCTTTAACCATTAATGGAGTACTGAAGTGAAGATACAACAAAACTCACTCTCTGACATAAAAAAAAAAAAATCGTTAAATGTGGGAGGAGAGAGGTGGGTGAAGATAGCCAGTGATGTGCTGTTAAATGTTTAATAATCAGCTCTCCAAAAAACAAGAAATTTGCCAATTTATGTGATGTAAATACTTGCAAATGATCAATTTGAGCTACCAAGTTGAGGTTACCTAGTCCTCAAAACACCTGAAGTTTTACCAGTCAGCTCTCATAAGCCAGTAAGAGCCATCTGCAAATATACAGGTCGAGAAAATCTATTGTTAAAACTTAACTACATTATTATTTGCATGACAAAAGAATCTTTCCTCGACAGAATGATTTAATCAATAAGAATTAACATTGAGTATCCTTTGACAAATTTTAATCCTGTGTCCAGGAATTATAACTTCAATACAATTAATATATGTGTCAAATAAGTAATATAAGTAACATGAATTCCTCATGTTGCTCCTACATTCAAAATCCATCATGAGCTCCCTACTACCTGGAAAATAAAGCCCAAGCTTCTTATTGTGAACTCATAGTCTCCTTCTACTAACTCCTAAGCCATCTTTCAAGCTCACTCTCTTTAGATACACTACATTCCAAAGATGTTTATTGCCATCTCTAGAAACACTTTTATGTTATACTTTTCTTACCTTTTCATATTATACCCCTCATCTAGCACAGGTTATTGTTATCTCTTCTTTAAGACTTTCCTTGAGTGCCCATGTCTATAGAATCTTTTTTTTCCTCTGAATTCCCACTATAATTGTTTGCACAATTCACTTGTAGCATAACTTCTCTTATCTTAGACCATTTTTCTTGTGACCACACAGGTCTAGTTCATACTCTTGTTAACTCCAGCAATAACCAACAGATTCCTCTGCCTGTCTAACGTCTTCATCCTCAAATTTATTTTCTAGTACTGCCATATGTTATCCTTCTAGAATTGAGCTTTGATTCATGACACTCAAAACTTTTCAGTCACTTTCACCAAAGTTTTACACAATGTCTAAACACTGCAAATTGTTCCTGGGCCCTCTGACCAGAAGATTTTGTCCCTGAACCATATCCTCAACCAAACCAAACCAGTGAACTTAATTCTCCAAGCATGCCTCAAGCCTTCAACACATTCACAGCAAGTAGAAATTCTTCCTCTTCATTTTAGAACCATTAATTTACCCTCCTTCAAGACTCAATTAAAATTGAGTCTTAACAATTTTTAATAATTTTTCCCCAGTAACTTCTTTTTTATCAAATACTCTCTAAATCTTTTGTATTCCCATATAGCTTTATTACCTTCTTGATGTCATTTAGTAGATTCTATCTTGTATTATACTTACTTGTGCGCATATTTCCTCTGTTAAACAAGGTCCTCGAAAAAAAAGGATCAAGCTTAATCTCATTAGTGCTTAATCTAAATTCTAGGCATGAGTGTAGTTACAGTTGAACTGAATTACTGGACTATCATTTTTTTCCACTAGAATGGAAACTCATTTAGAGCAGTAGATCATATTTTATACCCCTTTCTTTTTCTCAACGATTATATTATAGCGAGATACATACATACTTACATAGATGAATACATACATACATACTTACTTTAAACTTACTTTATAGTGAAAGTTCAGAGGAAAGAAGCATTATTCACTCCTTGCTTGGGCAGGAAAAGGTGGGAAAGTCAAAGAAGGTTTTGAAGGAAATTATTTGAGCCAGGCCTTAAGAAATGAATGCAGTTTTATTAACCAAGTCGAGAAGGGTAAAGGTTATGAGAAAGACACAGTGTTGGAAAATAAAGGCTCTCCTAGGGCACTAATCTCAAAGTTGTCCCACAGTCTAGGAACTGTTCACAAATATCTCAAAAGTTACTTTCAAAGTCAAAGGGAAGCCTGGCGTGATGGCACATACCTGTAATCCCAGTGGCTCAGGAGGCTGAGACAGGAGGATCTTGAGTTCAAAGCCAACTTCAGCAATGTGGAGGCACTAAGCAACTCAGTGAGACCCTATCTCTAAATAAAATACAAAATAGTGTTGGGGATGTGGCTCAGTGGTTGAGTGCCCCTGAGTTCAATCCCCAGGACCAAAAAAAAAAAAAAAAATGTCAAAGAGAAGGCCCTCACAGAATTCAATAAGATCCTGGTGCACTACTTTTGGACTTTCCAGTGTCTAGAATCATGGACTAAATAAATGGGTTTTTTTTCCTTTATAAATTACTCAGTTCAGATATTCTGTTTTAGCAAAAGAAAACAGACTAAGTCTATTCTCCTTTGACTTCTCTTATAATGAGGATACTACTGAAACCCTGAGACACAATCCCTAAGGCAACCATTGAATATCTTGCAGAAGTGGTAAGACTGGTCCTTCTGGAAATATATAAAAATGTGTACAACTATTTGATAAATAGACACAGGCTTAGTCTTATTTTTTGTAAAACTCCAAGACTTATGATTTCTTTTTAGTTGACAAATATATCCCAAATGGTTGTATTTGGAATATGTTTCCTAACCTTAGGAAGTTATCTACATGAAGAGGCTGTCATTATATTGTGTAAACTAAGCAAATGGACCATGCGGAAAATTAGGTGCTGAAGGCAGAGAGAAATAGTTCACAAATTTTCATAATCTATGGTATAAAGCAAATTACCTAGGAATTCCAAAGGATAATAATGCTTCTGGAAAAAAATAATGTTTATAGATATTGGATAGTTTTGTAACATTCAAGAAAGCAACCTGTTGAGGAATTTTACATGGGAAACTGAGAGATGTTTTTCAAAAAGCATTTTATTCCCACCAACCAATTTTATCAAATAATTCTTTTGACCTTTGTTCCCAAATGAGTTGAAAAGAGAAGGCAGAAAAATACTGTGGCTTCTCTTAGTTGTTCTATAATCTACCAAGAATTAGGAAGGATCTGAGGTTTTTGCCTACTTACAGATTAATGGTTTCATGA